AAGTCTTCACAGTGGAGGTAGCACAGACTTTGAATAAATCGGGAATGAGGGCATTACAGTATGCAGAGGAAGAGGAGTACAGAAAAGCCCCAGAGACGTGGGATATCATGGCATCATCTCTTCTTTACCCGCACTCATAAGCTTTGGGTCAGGCCCTCCTTTTTTTCCTAATTATTTTTAAAGTCTTTGAACTGATTCTGCTGTCCCTAGTCTTGTACATGGACATCCCAATTGACCCTGTGCTCTACAGCCTGTGATACATCTATCTGTAACCCCGGCACCTTCTCTTAAGCCCGTGGAGGGAACGATATGTCGTGTTCCTCTAGGGAGGGGACAAGATAGGGAAGCAAACATTCTGCCTCCTTCTCTGTCTGGGTGAGGTCCACAAGGGGCCTCCTTTGCTGCCCAATCTCTCATTATAAAAGTGTACATGACTGCTATTCCAGGATGGGATGGTGGTATTTTCCCTTTTTCTGACTAATGAACTCAAATGTACGGGATTCCAAAGAAGACCCAAACAGGTCTTTACTTAACGTTTCAGATGATAAAACACAGATTGTATAGAGTGGTGGAGTGAGGTTAGAACAGACTACAAGTGGCTTTGCATCCCTTATTTTACCTAACCCTCATTCTTGTAAATGATCACTAAGGCTTCATTTTCTAGACTCCCAGCGTTTCCACACGGATTTCCCTCCAGTGGCAGGGTCACCCCATAGACTCTTTCTTCATTCTCCCCGGTGCTATTCTCTTCTTGCATCCCCAGGGCTTGGAGATTTTAATCTTTTTCTTCTTCTCTTCTTGGATAGTAGATCTTCTCCCAGCAATTATCAGACCCTTGGCCTCTTTTGGGGTCTTGAAAAACTTTATGGTCTCCCACTTGTATGCTGAGGCTTGCTGGGTTAAGGTGTGAGTCAGTCACAGCTATTCTCCTCCCATCTGCTTCCAGTGCTGATTAAGGGGAGACAGGGAATTTCCAGTTCTGAGAAGAGGAGAGAAAGAATATTGGGTCTGATTGTCCACTTTGTACTGCAGCTTAATTTTATTTTTTCTGTTTTTCTTTAGTGATATCTTTTTTAAAAATTCAGGTATCTTCTCCCGCAAGAGTTAATTTCCAACCAATAATAGTTACCATTATCTATAGATGAAATTCCCATCCCCTCTTCTAGAGGAATGTTTAACTTTGCCTTTAAAAAAAAAAAAAAAAAAAAAAAGGTATCTTTCTCTAACCAACATGAATCACATTATGTACCCTTCTTCCATTAACTTAGCTTTGGGTGGTGTCATATCCAATTACCCCTTCTCAACTCCTGGCCTCCTCCTCCTCAACTATAGTGAAAAACCACAAGGAGAGTCCTATGACATAGCTCACCACATAACCAATCTACTTAAAACCCACCAAGTTTTCTCACTGCCCATGAAGAGAGCACATGCTCCTGTGAAGAGGCAGACACTACTTATCTCCAATCAATAGCTGCGATGAGAAAATGCAGATTAATTGTGGCAAATTTTTAAGAGAAGCCAAAAATCACGGAGTTTAAAGGTAACATCCCATTTTTAAACCTTGGATAAAATAAATGAAAATAAAGCAAAGCTGAAACAAAACAACTCATCACAAAAAAAAGTATATATTCACTCTCTGTCCTAAAAGATCAAGTTCAAACCTCTTGTCAGGGCAAAGGCTTCTAATAAACTGGCCCCTGCCTCTTCTCCAGCCTCATGTCTCATTACTTTTCAGTAACTAATGAATGCCACAGCAACATTAAACTGTTACCAGGTTTTAGAGCTCCTGCCTCCTCTGCCTTTGAAAATGTCTTCTTTGCCTGAAGTCTTTTTATAAATATTAACTACCTAGCAAATTTCTGTTCCTGTATCAATACCCTTTGGACACATAATCTCCTCTTACAAGTCTTCCTGGATCAACTTCCCAAAATCATTCTCGATGGCATATTACTTCTGTACCCAATACATATTTTTATTATTGTTGTTAGTTTCTATTTATTGAATGCCTATTTTGTGCCAAAAATGATAAAACAAAGGTAGGGAAGAATGAAGTAGCTTATGTAAAAACACAGAGTTAGAGCACGAGCAAGAGCTCAGAGCTCTGTTAATTAAGTAATTAAGTTCTGTCTGTCTCCAAAGTCTACTATGCATCATCCACTACCACATTCTAGTGCCTATTTTTTACATGTATTATTGTTTAGATCAATTCTCTCATCGCTTCACTGAGATTAAGTGACAAGAATAATGTTTTATTCATCATTTTATCATTAGTACCTAGGATATAATATGTATTCAATAAATGTTTGTTGAACTGAGCAGAACTCTTTTAAATGCAGATCATATCAGTTTTTAGTATTACTCTAACTTTTTTATTGATTAATCCTTGATATTTATCTAAATTTAACTTCTTCATTTTGAATCATTAAAAAGAGGCTCAATGTGATGTTTTGAAAAGTTATTACCGCCGGGCGCGGTGGCTCAAGCCTGTAATCCCAGCACTTTGGGAGGCCGAGACGGGCGGATCACGAGAGGTCAGGAAATCGAGACCATCCTGGCTAACATGGTGAAACCCCGTCTCTACTAAAAAATACAAAAAACTAGCCGGGCGAGGTGGCGGGTGCCTGTAGTCCCAGCTACTTGGGAGGTTAGGAAGGACCTGGCTGTACAAAGAACACAATGTTAGCATGCCTTAGTAGGTTTATCACCAGAAGTCTGGATAGCATTGAGCATTAGAGCTTGGTAGTTCTGATTAATTTTTAAGGTAGTGGTCCTCAAACTTCATGGTACAGCAGATCACCTGGAGGACTTCTTAAAACACTGGTAGTTGAACTCCATCGCAGACTTTTCAATTAATTAGGTGTGGCCTGGGTCCCAAAATTTGCATTTCCACAAAGTCCCCAGTGGTGCTGATGTTGCTGGCCTGAAGATCACACTTTGAGAACCACTAATTAAGAAAACAAGTTCCCAACCTTCCTCACAAATCTTATTCCTGGGGGCCTTTTGTCACTGAGCATAGAGGATCTGTATCAGACCTCTCTATTTCCACATCCCAGAAATGTCAAACAATAAACCTAGAATTGAAATCACTGTCTTCTCACTGAAAATATGCTCTTGTGTTTTTGCCCTCTTAAGCAATGGCACAAGTTAACTTCATACTTTTGAAGAATCCTTGACCTTCCTGTCTACCAACATCATCAGGTTGATTTTCCTCTTAAATACTTCTTTCAACAAATATTTATTAAGCACTGCCATGAGTTTCATAAATATTTCAGGATGGATTTAGACCGAAAGATGTTGAATACTTCCAAATATCATGACCAGATAGCCTCCCTCACTGTAGTAAGAGAGAACACCCCCTTGACAGTCTTAGCAATGTTGTACAAAACAAGGTATTTAGGGATTTGGAGGTCTAACTCAGGTAGCGTAAAAGGGCCCTTCAAAGTAGAAAATGGATTAAGATGCAGCAGGGGTCAGGACATAATAGCTTCATATTGGTCATCGGAGCAAGATGAGGGTTTTAATGAATAAATTGCTTTTGATAAGTGAGCTATTTGCCTAGTCAAGCAGAGTGTTATCTCAGATAAATTGATTTGCAGGAATCACCTGATGCAAAAAGTGCAAACTATTTATTGTTTACCGTCTTATCTTTCTTGGACAAATGTTTCATGGAAAAAAATACTAACTCACGTTGACACAAGTGGTCTCTGTTCTTAGTCCTGATAGCTATGTCATGCTGATGTAGGTGATCGCAGTTCTCAAAGACTCTGTGCCCTAGATTTAAGGAACTTACATTCCTGTGAGCAGGCCAACAGGGTTCCAAAAAACTCTTCCTTGAATTAAAATTAACGTATTTGTAAGGTAGAAAGTGTCCACAAAAGAAGAAATATCTGAATCTTCTCATGGAAGTCTTCACAGTGGAGGTAGCACAGACTTTGAATAAATCGGGAATGAGGGCATTACAGTATGCAGAGGAAGAGGAGTACAGAAAAGCCCCAGAGACGTGGGATATCATGGCATCATCTCTTCTTTACCCGCACTCATAAGCTTTGGGTCAGGCCCTCCTTTTTTTCCTAATTATTTTTAAAGTCTTTGAACTGATTCTGCTGTCCCTAGTCTTGTACATGGACATCCCAATTGACCCTGTGCTCTACAGCCTGTGATACATCTATCTGTAACCCCGGCACCTTCTCTTAAGCCCGTGGAGGGAACGATATGTCGTGTTCCTCTAGGGAGGGGACAAGATAGGGAAGCAAACATTCTGCCTCCTTCTCTGTCTGGGTGAGGTCCACAAGGGGCCTCCTTTGCTGCCCAATCTCTCATTATAAAAGTGTACATGACTGCTATTCCAGGATGGGATGGTGGTATTTTCCCTTTTTCTGACTAATGAACTCAAATGTACGGGATTCCAAAGAAGACCCAAACAGGTCTTTACTTAACGTTTCAGATGATAAAACACAGATTGTATAGAGTGGTGGAGTGAGGTTAGAACAGACTACAAGTGGCTTTGCATCCCTTATTTTACCTAACCCTCATTCTTGTAAATGATCACTAAGGCTTCATTTTCTAGACTCCCAGCGTTTCCACACGGATTTCCCTCCAGTGGCAGGGTCACCCCATAGACTCTTTCTTCATTCTCCCCGGTGCTATTCTCTTCTTGCATCCCCAGGGCTTGGAGATTTTAATCTTTTTCTTCTTCTCTTCTTGGATAGTAGATCTTCTCCCAGCAATTATCAGACCCTTGGCCTCTTTTGGGGTCTTGAAAAACTTTATGGTCTCCCACTTGTATGCTGAGGCTTGCTGGGTTAAGGTGTGAGTCAGTCACAGCTATTCTCCTCCCATCTGCTTCCAGTGCTGATTAAGGGGAGACAGGGAATTTCCAGTTCTGAGAAGAGGAGAGAAAGAATATTGGGTCTGATTGTCCACTTTGTACTGCAGCTTAATTTTATTTTTTCTGTTTTTCTTTAGTGATATCTTTTTTAAAAATTCAGGTATCTTCTCCCGCAAGAGTTAATTTCCAACCAATAATAGTTACCATTATCTATAGATGAAATTCCCATCCCCTCTTCTAGAGGAATGTTTAACTTTGCCTTTAAAAAAAAAAAAAAAAAAAAAAAGGTATCTTTCTCTAACCAACATGAATCACATTATGTACCCTTCTTCCATTAACTTAGCTTTGGGTGGTGTCATATCCAATTACCCCTTCTCAACTCCTGGCCTCCTCCTCCTCAACTATAGTGAAAAACCACAAGGAGAGTCCTATGACATAGCTCACCACATAACCAATCTACTTAAAACCCACCAAGTTTTCTCACTGCCCATGAAGAGAGCACATGCTCCTGTGAAGAGGCAGACACTACTTATCTCCAATCAATAGCTGC